CTCCCTGAAAAAAAACACACTTGCAAGATGAGTACACTCCAGGAATAGAAGTACGACGAGAGACTGTTGGTAACGAAGGAACAACTCCAATCTCTGGTGGGATTGCTGAACTATGCGGCACGCATTGTCAGTCTCAGAAGGCCTTTCACATGGTCACTCATGGAGGCTTTGAAGATTCCTCAAGAGCCCGACCATTGGGTGCGACTGAATGTGGAATGCAGGTCTGAGATCAGCTGGTGACAGGAATTTTTGCATTTTTGGAACAGTCAGTTATCCTACTTGGGTCGCCCATGGGCAGCAAACAGTGAACTTTGATGCATCTGGACGCTGAGGCTGCGGTGCGGTCGTCTGCCAGTGGGCCAGTGGTTCCAGGTGCAATGAACGGAGTCATGGTGGTCAATTACCTTTGCAGCAAAAGAGCTGCTCCCCATCGTCATCAGCATAGCCATATGGGGACAGGAGTGGGCCAGGTCCCGGTCCCTAATTTGTTGTGACAATGATGCATGTCTGTCATCGGGTTCGGCAAAGGACCCCTTGTTAGCCCACTTGTTGAAACTTGTCACTATTCTCCGCTTTGCTAAAAATTCAGCTGGTAGTAGGGCATGTAGCCGGTCGCTCCAACAAAGCGGCCGATGCTTTGCCTTGTCGTAATATGACAATTTTTCTTCTCTCATTTCACAGGCCAGTCGGACTCCATGAACAGTGCCAGCACAGCTACTTGAGCTGTTTTGGGATCGGGAGGCAGCCTGGACGTCAGAAGCTTGGATGCAGAGGCTAGAAGCCTTTTTGTCTCAGGACTGTCGGGAAGAAGGAAGAGTACTTATTTTTCAGCAAAGCGGCAGTATGTGCAGTTCTGCTTCAGAGCAGGAATCAACTGACTCCCAATAACTGAGCAAACAGCTTGCTGTTTCGTAACTTATATCAAGGTCTCCGCCCAGCTTCATTGTCAGTATACTTGTCAGCCCTCCGGCATTTGAGTATAGAGGCTGGGCTGGAAGTAGCATCTTGTGGGTCATGGCACTAATTAGGTTATGTTGTTAAAGGGGTGAAGAGAAAGAACAGAGATACCCGATCCAGACGGAGGCTCCCGGTCACACTAGATGTCATGAAAAAACTTAAAACAGCACGGGAATCTGGGCTGGAGGACCAATTTACCACATGCCTGCTGTGGGCTGTAGCATGTACTGCATTCTTTGGCTGTTTCAGATTATGGGAGCTCCTATCAAAAGGAACAGAAGTTCCAGCAGTGGGTCACTCAGACATTCTTTTTTGTAGGCCAAATCTTCGATTATGGATGGTGATTTGGTTACTCTTCTCAAAAACAGACCAAAAAGGCAAGGGCATGACAATTCACATTGGTGCTACGTCAACCGAGATTTGTCCTGTGGTTGCCCTGCAGAACTACATGCAGTCCGCCCAGCCAGGCAGGGGGCTGTCTTTGTGAGATTACAAGGCTCTTCATTGCTTCAGTCAACCTTCGTTCAATTGGTAAGGACCACTGTGGAGTGGAGCAGGTCTCATACTCTGGCCATAGTTTCCTATGAGGTGCAGCCACCGTGGCTGCAGAGGTGGGAGTTCTGGTCCATATACTGAAAGCAATAGGGCAATGGAACTCAGACGCCTACCTTGCATACATTTGGACGTCACCAGTGACCCTCGTAACACTGGCTCCAAAAATGGTGTCAAGTTACCAATGTCTTGGGACTCATTAATGTATTTTGTGGTAAATGGTTTTGTTGTGTTGTAATTTCTTTGATCACATTTTATTTTGTCCATTATTGCAGCTCATGTTGTTTCATGCCTGCCAACTGACTTAGTGCACTCACACCAACACACCTAACCCACTCTAACTTCCCATCATGGGAGGTTTTGGGGTGTGACCGTAAGTCCTAACCCTTGGTCAGGCCTTCCAGCCAATTTTGCATTATCTTGGCATGCATTTACCCTTCTTCATGTTAGTGGAGGGAGTGATCAGTTTAAGGTTGTTAGAACCATGTTACAAAGTGTGGTGCTTACTATGTATATAATTCTAAACTATAAACCTCCACTGTAATGAGGGGTACTGTTAGGTTGTTATAATCGGCTGATTAGGAGAATCTAACAAGGCAGCTTGTCATTTTGGGGGTGGAGTAAGTTCCAGGGTCTACATCAAGGTAAGTATGGGAAGGGGCACTATGGCTTGGTATGCAGGGCCAGTATTCCACTGCAGGCCTGCAAAGGGTTAAAATATATTAATAATGATGTCAATATTTTCAAGTTATGAATCCTTTTCATTTGTCAGTCCATGCAAAATGAACAATACCAACTTCCTAATGGTGCATCAGTCAGTCCCACACATTTATAATGAACCCATTTAATAGGACACCTTTTGTTATCACATTCAACCATATATTTGCGTTCTACTGTATGTCTTGAAAAATACAATACACTATAAATTCAAAATAATGATCAATAACTGTACAAAAATTTCCACACCTTTAATGTTTTCACTCTTCACTTTCTCTGAACTGACTCCTGTCTTAACACTCTTCCTTATAGTACAAGCAGTAGTGATATTACTAGCTCCAGTCTTATCTATCATCAAAAAAATGATTATTATTACAAACAACATTCATACCTTCAGTACTTATTTCAACAGTGGAGTAAATTGTAATACCAGCTCTTGTCTTTCTCCTAGAAGTAACACTAGCTGCTGTCTCCATCAGTAATAATATTAGTTCCTGTCTTTTCTCTAGTTGTAACACTAACTCCTATCTTTCCTCTTGTAATAACACTAGCTCCAATCTTTCCTCTAGTATTAGCAACTCTAGCTCCTGTCTCTTCCCACATTATTAAAGTACATAATAAAATTACATCCATACTTTTACTATTTGTTCTACCTGAGCTAAAACCATTTCTAGTATTAACACTAGCTCCAGCCTCCGCTATAAAAAGTATTCGTTTACTTAATATTACATCCATATACAAGTACCTTCACCATTTATAGTAGAAATATTTGTAACAGCAGCTCCTGTCTTTTCTCTAGTAGTAACACCAGCTTCTGCACATGCCTTTCCTCCAGTAGTAACACTTCCTACTGTCTTTCTTCTAGTACACACAATACTGGCTGCTGTCACATATCATTAAAGTATTAATTCTTTACATTAACATACATCAATACCTCCATTATGTATTCCACTAGAGCTAGATATATTATTGAAGCAAGCTTTGTTCTTTTTATTAGTAGTATCAGCAGCACCTTTCCTCTAGTTGTGACACTAGCTCCTTTCTTTCCTTTACTACGAGCAACAATGGCAATTCTAGGTCCAGTCTCCTCTATTAAAATAATTTATCTTTTGCATTGAAATGACATTCGCACCTTCACTATTTATAGCAGAATTATTTCTAACATCAGCTCCTGCATTTCCTATTGTAGGAAACTGTCTCGTGTAGTCTTTCTTTGAGTAGTAGTAACACTAGCTTTTGTCCTTTTTCTAGTAGTTCCTGTCTTTCCTCTAGTAGTAACACTAGCACCTCTCCTCCCTTTATTACAAGCAATAGCAATACTATCTTTTGTCTCTTCTATATCATTATTAAAGTAATTGATATCCTTTACGTTACAATTAAATCATGCCTTCAAAATTTATAGTAGAATCATTAGCCACATTAGTTCCATTATTTCCACTAGTAGTAACACCAGCTCCTCTCTTTCCTCTAGTAGCTGCAGTAAATCCTGTCCTTCCTCTAGTAGTAGTAGTAGCAACACACATGTCTTTCCTCTAGTAGTAACACAAACTCCTGTCATTCCTCTAGTATCACCATTATAGTAATACTAGCTCCTGTCTCCTCTGTCATTAAAATCATTTACGTTACAAATATATCGATACAGTTACAATTTAGTCCACTAGAGCTAAAATTATTAGTTACCAAAACCACTGTCTTTCTTCTAATAGTAACACCAGTTCCTACAGTCTTTCCACTGGTAGTAACAGCTCCTGTCTTTCCTCTAGTAGTAACACTACATTATGTCTTTCCTCTAGTAATAGCAATATAAACAGCCCCTGTCTCCTCTATTAATACTTAAACAAGAAGGTGCGGTATAAAAGGTGGTGCCCTGAGCATGGTGGCTTCCGTTTTTTTCACGTGTAAAAATGTCTGCTCTAGATGATGTTGCTTCTTTAAGGAAAAATGCAGGCAGAGAGGGGTTTGGTACCAAACTGAGTTACATTTTACTCTCAAAGAATACAAGGACCCGTTCAAGTTAGGCTGGATCAAATTAAGGGGTCTTTAGGCACTAAAAGAAGGCGCTGGAAATGCTATCTCACTTACTTGCTGATTTAGTCGGGAAAAAAGATCATTAAGAGGCTCTATCTCAATACTTCAGGTAGTCTGGCCCCGCCTCTTTGTCGCGCGGGGGGTGGCGCGGAAGTGTCTGGTGACACTGCTACAGAAATTGTTGCAGAAAGGAATGCAATAATTAGTAGTTATTAATTTTATTAAAACATTCTGTCACATGATAACTTTCTTTTTGAGGCTTTTCTTGACAAGTAAGCCTCCTTGAATGAGGAGAGCAGCAGTAGGAAAAGGCAAGAGTAGTCTATCAAAGTTCTAGTTAATTCATGGACAACATATGCGGGAGTGAAAACAGAAAATTTGTATACTTTTCAGCCAAGTTTAACACGAGAATTCTTCATATTCTTCTCTTACTTCCCCTACAGTTAGCTTCTGTTCCCTTGCTAGCATTTATCGTATCTACAGCAGGTTTGTCAGTCATACTTGCAGCCATTTTGAATAGATCACGTGACAAAGTTACTTCCACGTGAGTGCTGCAATCTGATTGGGACGCTCAATCCTGTGCTTAGTGCCACAAATTCTGTAGCAGTGTCACCAGACTCTTCCGCGCCACCCCCCGCGCGACGAAGAGGCAGGGCCAGATTATACTTCAGGTAGTTATAACGTGTTTGAAATTAGTGTTAATATAAAATAAGGTATGGGTGATGGGGGACAAAGAGCAGCCATTTTGTGCATAAATAAAGGATCGGCTATTGGGACGCACATGTTGGTGATAGTGTCGTATGGTTGACCAAAGGGTGATCAATTACAGTCAGGTATTATTTATTATTTTTTTTTTATTATAATAATTATCAAAATTATATTCATTTATATTATTACTATGATTATTATAGTATAAGTCATGTGATTTGTTCTGAATTTCAGTTCAATGATAGTTGAGTCCTGTTATCGTAACTCAAGTTTATTATGTAGTAGATACAGAAGTAAGTATAATGTGAATGTAAAGCAATCATACATTAATTGTCATTAATATTTTTTAGGCTCGTACTAGCATATACTTTTGCTGGTATATTACCATCACAGTACTGCCATATTTTGATCGGCATTACTTGGTACAGTTGGGAAGATGTACACAACTACAGGAAGCTTCTGACCATCCCCATATCCATTCAACTCTGTTATTGTATATGCTTAATAATTTAGAATAGTATAATTTTTGTATTGACTACTTCCAGTGGATCGTTGAATGTTGCAACTGCTACCAGTACTAGGATCTGATTGAGGACCAAGAGGGGGTCTTTTGCTGTAACCACTTCTACTTGATGAGGGTGGCTGATAATTGGTAGTCGGCAAGGCCTTCTGGTCCCAGTGGTGGCAGTTCCTGGGCTGGTTTTTCGTGTAGTAATGAGGGCTATTCCTTTGCACTATCACTTATAACCTGCCTGATAGCATTATTGACCATGTTTGTTAGGCTGTTGACAGATTTTCAGAATAATTATACAATATAAATATTTGATAATAATGTAAAAAATTATTACTTCAAGTCAATTATACCATTTCTCTTCTTGCCATGCTTTCTACCTGTGCTTGTAGGTTAACTCTCTCGCCTTTACTAATTTTAATGTTTTTATAATGCGTTTTGCTAGTGATTTAGCCATGATAAGAACAGTGCCAGTGCAGGAGCCATTTTGTTATTTTCAAATGTGGCCGCCATATTGTGCCCAGGGCGCCTCCATTTATACGGTGACAGGCGGAAGCGATTCTATGATGTTGCGTGGATAGTTTTATAGTGCGTGCACCTTCTTCTTTAAATGTAAATCATTTATATTAAAATTATCCATGCCTTCACTATTTGATCCACTAGGGGATATATCTTTAACACAAAATTCTGTCTCGCCTCTAGTAGGAGTTGTAGTAGCATGAGCTCCTAATTATTACATCCTTAATGCAAATTACATACACATGTATGAATACATTGACTATTCTTTTCTGTAGTAACACTTGCTTGCTATCATAATGTTCTTTCCTCTTAAAACAGATTTGTTAGCTGTATAGTTTTTGGATATTTAGTATGTAATATAACATCATTTTTTTTTAAATACCACTTTCAGCTCTCTTTTTAGCCTTACCTTTGTCCTCTTCTCGTTCCTTCTGTCTCATAACTTTAAACTAGAAGGTGCGGCTTAAAAAGCGGTGCTCTGGGTATGGTGGCTTCCATTTTTTTTCACATGTAAAAATGTCTGATGTTGCTTCTTCAAGGAAAAATGCAGGCAGAGAGGGGTTTTGGTACCAAATTGAGTTACAACTTCCTCTCAAAGAAGACAAGGACCACTTCTAGTTAGGCTTGATTGAGCTAAGCGGTCTTGAGGTACTAAAAGAAGGCACTGGAAATGCTGTCTCACTTGCTGATTTAGTCAGGAAAGAGGATCATTTAGAGGCTCTATCACATGATACTAGTTATGCTCAAAACTTCAGGTAGTTATAATGTGTTTTTGAAATTAATGTTAATATATAAAATAAGGTATGGGTGATGGGGACGAAGAGCAGCCATTTTGTGCATAGGTATAGGATTGGCTATTGGGACGCACATGTTTGTGATAGTGTTGTATGGTTGACCAAAGGGTGATCAATTACAGTCAAGTATTATTTATTGTTATTATTATTATTTATTATTATTATAATTATCAAATTATTATTATTATTATTATAGTATAAATCATGTGATTTGTGCTTAATTTCAATAGCTCAAGTTTATTATGTAGTAGATGCAAAAGTAAGTATAATGTGTAATGTAATCATACATTAATTGGCATTAATATTTTTAGGCTCGTACTAGCATATACTTTTGCTGGTATATTACCATCACAGTACTGCCATATTTTGATCAGCATTACATGGTACGGTTGGGAAGATATACACAATTACAGGAAGCTTCTGACCATCCACATATCCATTCAACTCTGTTATTGTATATGCTTAATAATTTAGAATAAAATAATTTTTGTATTTACTACTTCCAGTGGATCGTTGAATGTTGCAACTGCTACCAGTATTAGGATCTGATTCTGGACCAACTGGGGGTCGTTTGCTGTAACTACTTCTACCTAATGAGGGTGGCTGATAATTGGTAGTCAGCAAGGCCTTCTGGTCTCAGTGGTGGCAGTTCCTGGGCTGGTTTTTCCCGTAGCAATGAGGTCTATTCCTTTGCCACTATCACTTATAACCTGCCTGACAGCATCATTGACCATGTTTGTTAGGCTGTTGACAGACTTTCAGAATATACCATATAAATATTTGATAATAATGTAAAAAATTATTAATTTTAGTCAATTATACCATTTCTCTTCTTGCCATGCTTTCTACCTGTGCTTGTAGGTTAACTCTCTTGCCTTTACTAATTTTCATGTTTTTATAATGCATTTTGCGTTTTGCTAGTAATTTAGCCATGATAAGAACAGTGCCAGTGCTGGAGCCATTTTGTTATTTTCAAAAGTTGCCGCCATATTGTGCCCACGGCACCTCCTTTTATAAGGTAATGGGCGGAAGCGATTTTATGATGTTGCATGGATAGTTTTATAGCTATCATTAAGTTCTTCATAACAGTTTCTTTAAGTTGCTCATAACAGCCACAAAGAAGTACTGAACTGACAGATTGGCTCCCTGAGGGAGTCTGCCCGAGAGACCCGAGACAGGAGCCAGTAGAGGCTGGGATGAGGCCTGCACATGCCCCACCCAAGACTGCAATCGGATCTAGCCCTGCCCACCCTCAAACACACCACCCCCCTCACTCTCTCCCAACACTGTACGCGCCCTCTCACTCCGTGTCAGGGAAAAGGGAGCCAAGGGACGCCCAGCCTTGAAGGAGAGCCTGGAAGGTCGACCTTGACAGCCACCCTTCAAGAAAGGGGTGATAAAGGCACTCTGATGTACACTAAGCCCACTAGTCTACTACTGTAAAACCGCATACAGACAGGGCACTCACCTGCCAAGGGCAAGGGCCCTGAGGAGGAACTCGGCCCTGCTGCTCCACTAGAAGCCGCTACAATCCCCTCTGCCACGGCTCTAGATATCATCGACGCCACCAAACTGAAGGAGACCGGCTCGCCAGACCCAGCACTGGACACAGCAGCCAAGGACGTCGTCGTAGAAGACAAGCTGGAGCCACCGCCACCAGAGGCCCCAGATGTCACGGTCACAGTCGTCGAGCTGCTAGAGGTGGACGCAGAAGACGCCATGAGAAGTCCTTCAGACCGGCAAATAATCAACAAACCAGAGACCAATCAAACAGAAGACGCCGCAAACAGAGACAAGGCAATGAAGAGTAACCTCAATACCAGAGTACAATCCAAAAACTAAGAGAAAACTTCAATTAAATTTGCAGTAGAAACCAGACAATCAGACAATTTCTGAAACTAGAGCACCCACGCGTGAGCTTAAATACCTAAGAGATTAACCTTGATTAACGACAATAACTTAATCATCAAGTCACATATATTGCTGTTTTTGAGTATTGTATTCTATATTCATTCTTAGATTATACAAGAATTATTCAGTATTGTATTATCTTACAATTGCACACTGGAGCATCTATTTTTTGCTGGTCCTCATTTTATTCCAGTAAGTCTCCCTTGTAATCTGCATTTATACCTTTATTATAGATATCATTACTGCATATGTGAGTGAAATTAATACTACAGATAAAAGTATCTTCTATTTCAGTAATCAATAGATTCAAAGGGTCCAAATACCAATAGGTTTGCTTAAAGTATATAGTTCAGAACAAATCCAGATACATAGACCTCATGAGTTTGGTTATTTGAAGTTAGATAGAACCCGTGAAATCAAAACTGCATTATACTTAATCATAGATATACGACTGCTAGGGAGATTGGAGACTGGTCACGTGAGTGCATTGCTTCTACACTCACTATTCATGTTTGTGTTCAGTATAATTCATAGTCAAGCCTTTTCTTTGACTTTGTGCCATTTCAATGGAGAAATAACAGGATCAATAGTTAATTTATTGTGGGACAATTGTATTAATGTGGAAGCTTAATAGAGATAGGTAAGGTATGGAGCAGTTAGGTGAGGTTTAAAGTTGTTGACTGGGTCATTTATAAGTTCCTACAGATGTAGATAGTGCAACAGTATAGTCTAAAGAGTATTTTCCTCTTGTTGACTTCATGGGACGGAACCAGCTTACTAGAATCATGAATGGTTGTAAGACTTTCATTAAAGGAGAGCTACTATGATGAAATATTTGGCAATGACCAGTGTTAAGTTGATGTATTATTTATTTTGGTATCTATAGGTCAGCTAATGGGAAG